TTTCTACTGGTCTACCAACTTACAAAAAAAAAGTCTGTCTTCCCAGTAAGATCATATTCAGGAACGTCAAACTTGAAGCACACTTATTTTCTAAAAGTTTATGTACCTGGAAATTTGTAGTTAACAAAAAAGCTTCTTTGAAAGCCATGTGTCAGATAGTTAGAAAAAATGTCAGTTTTATAAACATGATTTTTGGTCTAGAATGTGTAAGAGTGATACTGAAACATCTCACATCTGCAAGACAACAGTTCACAACCAAAGCAAGACTGTCTTACAATTCAGAATGCTATTACTGCCACCAACCATTCTTAATCTTATTTCTCCAATATTGATTTTCTTGGGAAAATATACCAATTTGTAGCAATGGAGTACATCCCACTAAAATCCAATACTGAAATCAATAAAATAAATGAAAATACAATTTAAGTGTCAAAAGAATCAAATGTAGAACTTTCAAAAATATTCTTCTAGCTTTAAGAGCTACTGCAGCTCTTTAAGATGATTTAAGATGATCTCATTGGTAGACACTTTTCAAAGTGAACTAGATACTGCCAAAAGATGCCTAGCCTGTACAAAACCAAGCCTTTGAATCTTGAATGGAAACCTCAAATGGAGGAAACCTCGAATGGAGGAAGCCCTACAGGCTTCCATAACACCCCACAGCACTTGACAGCCCTATCCATACAGGACAGTCAAGTACTGAAGTCCTCACATTCCTGCATCTTTGTCTAGTTTGTATTTTCAGAAGTACGAACAAGTTTGAAGTGACACTGCCCTTCTACAGTCAAACTACTGATTTTTCCAAGATGGACACAGATGAAGTAATACCTAACAGCACAGCAGGAGTGCACACAGAACTTCTAAAAATACAGACTTACTGTGATGCGAGAATACTTACTATTTCACCACAGAACTGTTGCCCTCCACAGTTTCACATGCACAGATAAATTATTGTGGTCAGTGTGGGTTCCCTGCTGCAGTTGGAGGAATGCTGCCAGCAGGTTGAGGGAGGTGATGCTTCTCCTCTAACTCAGCCCTGGCAAGGCCATATCTGGAGTTCTGGGATCTGCAGCACAAGAGAGACCTGGAGCTACTGTGGAGTCTCCTGAAAGACCATTGGGACAATTAAGAGACTGGAGCATCTCATATGAGGGAAAACAGCAGTGGGACTGCTTAGCATAGAGAAGAAAAGACTTGGGGTCAGATCTCATCCATACATACAAACATCTGAAGGTAGAGTGCAAATAGGGCAGTACTGGACTCCCTTCAGTGGTGCCCACTCTTCCGTGTTGTCCAGGGATAGGAAGGACAGATAGAAACATGTGAGTTTCCACTTGAGGAGGGCATATTTTCAAGCTGGGCAGAAAGTACAGCAGAACTGTACTTTGACACCCCTCTCTTCCAGTGTTGCTGTTTTCCAGAGTTCTCTCACTAAATAATCTCATTATTCTGAAATTTATAAATAAGTTCTATTCATTTTCTATTAACATTTCTATTACTTAGAATTTGCCACAATTATCACTTTTTCACAGGATGAACCCCTCTTCCAGCTCACAATTTGCTTAGATGCCTTTTTGTCATACCACAGAGGGGCCTAAGGAAGCTGGATTCTCAGTGTCAGCTTTCCAGAAAATGTAAGAAAAGTACTTCTCCATCAGTTATGTCTATAGTCACAACAAGTGAGGAATTTCAAAAAGAGAACATGCTTAAAGGAAGTACATGCACTCTTTAAGGGCTCTAGCACCACAACTAGGCTTCTTATAAGGGGAAAAAAAAGACAAAACAAAAGCTTTGCTGTCATTGCAGAAGACTTCAGCTTGCAGAGAAGAGAAAAAAGTCTCAACATGTAGCTATACACATGTAGCTATACACTGTCTTGTAATTATTTGGTTATATATTGGAATTATGCCTTTCTTAGCAGCAAAGCCAATTTAAATGACTCCTGCCTTCCTCCACATCCCTTCTTTCAGTTTATTAACAATTTCCTTACCTAGTTTAACAGCTTGGCACACTTACACTGAACTGGCACAACTGGCAGGCAGGAACTAAGAGTAAGGACATGAACTCATCAAATGGGGGAATTCTTTCCTAAAGTTTTTAATCAATAAATGAATGTAAAAGCGCAGAGAAAATTTCAGAAGGCAAGAAAGAAGTTTTGTCATTCCCTTACTTGCTTCAACAGATAAATTATGAAGCACGCTACCATGAAACTAATGTTGTCTTTTAAAATCATTTGAAGTATACTATTCAATCTAAGTAGAACACTAGAAGTAAATAATATGATAATTCAGCTGGGGAACATTAAATAATACATCTTCTGAGAGTACTATTATCATGAGAAATTATCTTAAAATACATATATATGATAGCTAGATTTTCCATGGAGACATACAAAAGCAAATCCTTTCAGTAGGTTAAATAAGAAGCCTCTTCACTTCTGAAGTGCATCAGCAACTTCTAGAAAATTTAAAACAAGGCTGCTCTCCTTCAAATTGGAGTTCTACAGAACCAAGGCGTTTATCTGTTCAGAAAAGTCCTTTTGAAGCCAAGTAGTGCCACCAAGTGGTGGTGAGATTCCGTATGCAAATAAAGATACTCCATATGTAGATCTCACAGAACTAAAAATGTTCCCCAGCCATCAAGTAAGTGACTGAAGGTGTACTAAGAAAAAGACTTCAAACTAATCAAAGCAGAACTACGTATTTTTAGTAGTCAAATCCAAAAGTGACTTTCAATTTAAAAGTTCTACAATTAGGTGTTTTTGTTCAGACACCTTTTGTGAGCAGTAGCTAAAGAACTCTTTCTTCCACTACAAATGCAGTAGGGATCAGCAAACTAATAATGTTTGTCATAACCCTACGCAAATCTCCAGTGATTACAATGGCACAATCACAGAGGTTTACCCTCACAGTATTTCAAAACTCAGCATGTAGAGATCACAACCAGACTAGGAAGGGTTTTAGAAATCAGGTTCATCTGACTATTTTTGACAGAAATATTTCTCAAATTCATCAACCATATGCTGATAGTTAGCTGTGCCTGCTATTCCTGGGATGTCACTCCTAAAGATCAGAGGTGAGAATGTGCACAGCACAGCCAAGATTTACAGTGCAGCTTTTTTTTTTTTTAATAGAAGACATTAAAACAGTTTAACTCAATTTTATTGAAATATATCTTAGAACATGACACATTCTTCAACTTTGGAAAAAATTCTGACCACATTTCCCATTACAATGAAAAGAAAGTAGTAGTTTTTCTCTCTCCAGCATGCTCTGAGAGGTATGCAGCAATTTATCATGCTTTCTACTTTTTTTGGCAGATAATCATTTGCTGCACATATTTTAGTAGTATCACAAATTCTAAGATTGTACCTCCTGCTGATGTAGAGACATCCTAAAGCATGCTGTATTTCCCAATTACTAAAGGACTTCTTCAAATTAAACTCCACTTTTACTCACTTGCTTTACAACTCTATAGAGTAATAAATGACATTCAGTGGCATCCACTGATCATCACCAACAAACTGGTTCTGATCAACAAAGATGACATTTATCTTAATAAAATACATTCACTGTTGTTAAATAGTTTCTTACTTGTGTACATTTAACTGGCAATAAGTTATTTGATTTCCCTAAAGTCAGGATATCTTACTATTTGCAATTAGCAAAGCAAAAACCCAAATTTGTTATTCCCAAGGAAAACCTGTATAGAAAGCACTTTCCATCATCAGGAACTAAACTCCTGTTGAGTGTACAAGACGTTTGAGTGAATCATTAAATCACATTTTCAACTACTGCTTTAGGTGATGGAAGCTTACATGAAAGGCCAAATCTGCATCAAGTTGTGTGATTTAAATTCATTGGTCAGAAGTCTTCAAGATGCTGCAGTCACTGCACTCATGAGTGGAGACAGAAGACATAGCCAAGTACAGGTGGTTTGCCTATTTCTTTCAGAACCTCAAGATCTTCTCCAAGCAGTAGCAGTACCAATCAAACATCATTATACTGTTTCCATTTTTTCTGTCCTCTTGTTGTGTATGCACTAGAACCTCCCTCTCACGTGTTCAAAATACTGAGCTAATACTAAGATGGTATGTTAGTCAGCAGCAAGGAGAACTTGGGAATCCAGATCTTACTTCCAAAAGTCTGCATGTCCAACTATCAAGACCTGACTCCACAGTAATGAGAATTTACTGGATCTGGGATCTTACCGAAAGACACTTGTGAAGGAATCAAGCTAAAACAGATGAAAGCAAACTGGTCTTAGGTGTGTTTAATGTAACTTAATAGAGAATAAATTAATTAATCAAAGTATTCCTGTTGTAGAACATGAAGTAATGTGAAAAGAAACAAAATCTGTGTTTAACTAAACCTTCCATCTCAAAAAATTAGAGGGGGTAAGAGGGACATGCCAAGAAATGCTTAAGTTCCTAAACTGACAGTCTGCAATTGGCAATGGACATCCAGATTCCACAACAGATTTTCATATAGTTTCGCTTACAAATAGCTCCACAAAGAGTTTCTTCCTAAGGAAAGGACAGGGAAAAAAAAAAGAATTTCTTAATTAATAAATTGAAATACTGTGCTAGTAGCTGGTCAGACTTCCCACATGGTTATTTATTAATAAAATAAGTGAAAGTTTAAGACACTCCTTTGACAATGCAATGTACATTTTCAATACTTAGAAACCAGGCAGATAATATGTAGACAGTGAAAGCCATCTTAAGTACTCATAATTCTTGTCAGCTAACAGAACACCACAACAGCTTTTTGACTACAACAGTTTGCAGAAAAAAAACCAACCATAACTTTTATCATAAGTTTAGCTACTGGGGGAAAAGGAAGGGTGTTCCTCTTTTGGTATCACAGCACTGCATACCTAAATTCCAGCAATCAAGATTCAAGTTGCAATACAATTCATTTTTTGACTAACTGCTTTTCTGACTGCTTAGCAGTATGTGTTAATGGATTCAAGCAATCTGGGAAAAAAATTCCACATACCTTTGTTTGTTTTTTTTGCATTAAGCTCTGAGATCCACTTCCACATTAAAACAAACCTGCAAAATAAAACATGAATTTAACACAAATCCAGAGAAATCTATATGTATTCTAGGTTGGAAACATCAAAATTCGAGTGGTTTTCTCTCAGACACATGTGATTTTCAAATAACAGATGTTGGTACTAACCTATCAAGAAGCCATGTAAGTATATACGTGCCATTTAACTAAGAGGGGGAAAAAGTTGCATAGCAAGAGAAGTTCTGCATTTTCAGCTACTGCTTTCAAACTCAGCTATTTTATGTTCCTTGAACAGTGAATGAAGCATAGAGAATAAATGGTTAGAAATCAAAGTTTTTCTGACCTTTTTCATAAAAACTATCAAAGTACCTGAAATTAAGTGTTGGAAGGTTTTAAATACAGGGTCTCACCAGTTCTTCATTTTTCCTTTGAAAAAGTTAAGTATAATTTTAAGGCTAGTTGGCCCATTTTAAAATCATAACCTTCTTTGCTTTCATATAGGTTGATTAATACCAGATTAACTAATTTTTTTTCAGTTGTGCTTACAAATCTTCAAAAGAACTTCATAAGGAAGCTTTTCACTTCCTAGTTGGAGGTACCAGACTACAGGACATTTGGAAGAGACTGAAAGTTATTGAAGCTGTACAAAACAAGAATGGATCAAAATACAGCATCTCTGCAAAACTGGTTTACTACCAGTGAAGACAAGGAGAATACAGCTTTATAGCACAAGACTCTCATATCAAGACAAAACTCATGAATCCATCACTAGAATTAATTTGGAAAGAGATACGTGTCCTCACATACTGCCTAGGACTCCTCTCCTAACTTGGTTCACCTGCAGCAGCTTTTTTGAATCTTAGTTCCCCAGTCTCTGCTGCAAAGCCATCTGTCTGAAATACAAAGGCAGAGAGTAGGGAAAGACATCTCTGCCAAGTCTTTATAGGCAATATAAGCCAGCAAAAGACAAGTCTCCAAGCTCCTTCTGCAAGCCACATGACCATTTCCTGATTACCACATAAAACTACAACCTTTCTGCCATGTTACTGAAAAGCTACATTCCTTTCTCAATTATGTCACACTTCCCTCCCCCTCTCCAAATAATGATAATAAAAAAAATCAAGTTTATAAAGAGACAATTCCTGTGCCTACAGAAGCAAAAGAATTTTTTTCAAACAGCAGTGAAGCCCTACTAGATGTAACAGGAGGCTCAATAGCAAGCACGGTTAAAAACTCAAAATATACCTTCCATGGACGATGAGCAAAAACACCTTTCAGAAAAGGGGAAGAAGGTCTATGCAGCTTAATGCTACCGAGCATTAGGATTAGCACTAAAACAGACATCTCAGTAAGCCTGTGCAATTTGGTTGGTGAAAGCCAGTCCAGCCTAACATATCTTCCACAGCAAGCAATTTTTCAATATAATGACCCAGCCACCCTGCAAACTCATCTCACCGTTGCAACAATCCTCTTAACTTCTGAAAACTGCAATTGGCATAACACTAGCAAAAACTGTTCTCAGTGACACAGTTTTCATCATTTCTTATTCAACTGCACAGCATCTCTGCACCACAGGACCAAGCTGGACACAGCAATCCAGCAGGCACAGCCCATGCTGTGCTGCTGCAGCTTTGGCACAGCAATGCCTTACATTAGGCCAAGCGCTTCAGACAGCTGCATAAAATGGCAATCCTATACTGCCTACCTGGAGATGATCCACTCCTTTGAAAAAGCTCCAATACAAGTATTCTTGAATATAAGTACTTTTTTGGCTCACAGAGAGCTCTTAGAGTACACTGGGAAAAAAGCGAGGTTATCCTTATCTATATCTGGCACAGAGGGAAAGAGGAGGGAAGAGAGAAAACAGACCACCACAGTCAGGATACTGTCCAGCTGAGAGGCAGGTGCCACAGGTTTCACCAACAAGCAAACTGCAGAAGGACCGACGGGCTGGCTACCACAGCCTGCTGCAGTTCTGCAGGACCTTAATTCCCCTTAGTAACCACTGCACTCAGAGCCCTGCCACATGGCCGACAGCACTGCAGCAGCACACACATGTTTTGTGGTGGGACTCACAAACTGTAGCTGATGACTGACAGCACTGAGACTCACCGCGCTTACAGCAACCAAACCTGCACTGCCCAGCCAACACTTCCCCATCGAAGGTCCTTCTGCTGTCAAGGAGGATTCCTCTAACTATAGCACAAACAGCCCAATCTTAACAGCTACTTCTCATTTCAAGGGTGTTGACATTTGAAATAACTGAGCACCCGGAATTCTTTCCCAGCAGATCCAAGAGAGGTAGCTCCCCAGGGTTCCTGAGGGAAAGGCAAAATCACAAACGTTTTACCTCTGATTTTTCCTGTCTTAATTCTCATTATCAGGAAAACAGCTGTAAAGAAAGTCTCCCTACCACGAGGTAACAAAGATAGGGCCCAACGGAACTCAAAAGCCAGTAAGAATAGTATATGCACCTTGAGGCCTCAGCAAGGAGGGAAGTGGGCCACAGCACTGAAACGGCCACTGCAGGAAGCTGTGCCTCTGACCGCTGATTTGCTGCCAGCCTGTTCTGTAAGGGCTGAGAATGGGCAGCAGGAAGCACACAGCACACGCAGAGATGGACAATGCCTCACAGGCACCCCAATAATACCAAAGAAGAACAGGCAGACTTCAATGTCCAAAAGCACAAGCAGATCTCACTGATCAGTGAGTATGAGCTAATGCTGGTGCACTGCCAGGGCTGATCACCTAAACCAGTGGAAAAAACAACCAACAACAGAAACAGCGTATCAGCGCTGCTGCCTTTCATACACAGTATCAAACAGCCCAAAGCAGGCACAAGAAGCTCTCCAGTCCACACACAAGGATCAAGACGTGTACACAGATACTACCCAGGCAAGCACAGTCACTTGAGCATGGGTGAGTTGCAGAGAGACAGAAGAATAACTTAAAAATATACAAGCTACAAAATTGTTAGAGATAACCACACTACAGCCACTAAAAAACTCTAATCTTTAAGACTAGCTGGAGATAAGCTATAAAAGCTTCCTTAGTATTGCTTTTAAAGCAAACAGCTACAGCTTCTACTTCAAAATTCAGATACATAAAGAACAATTAAGGTAATCCACTTTCCCATCTGTAAGTAGAGCAGAAAATATTTTACCTATGACTCCTGCATTGAACTCACAGTCATTCACAATACACAGTTTATATTAAGATAATTCACCTGAGTTTAAATCTGATTTACTTTACAAAATTTGCCCAATTTCTCCTCTGGTCACTACAATTACATCTTATTTTAAGATTAAATACACTTCTGTCCACTTTCTGTTTAAGGTAGTAGCATCCTGATTTTAATAATGAAGTACCTCCTTCCTAGAGAAGGCCTCTGAGAAAGACTAGATTGCAAAGGCTGAGGAACACCAGATTGCAAAGGTGTACAAGGAACCTTTACAGTAATCCCGATAAGACTTTTGATGCACTTATCTACCACTTAGTCCTCATTCTTAACAGAAAAACCCTAACAGATCCACAACAACAGGTACTTCTACATCTATCTGGGAAAACACCCTTAACTCTTTCCAGCCAGCACCTTCTCCTGGAATAGTTGCAGTAATTGAGAGAAGTGCATTTATTTTGTTGTTTTAAAGTAAAAGTTCCAATGTAATAGAAAACCAGCTTTCGCCTTCACAGCTGATTTGGATTACAGAGGAAGCAAGGAAGACAAAGGAACAAAGGTGAGAATAAGCTGTAGCAACAGCTTTTTTTGGTTGGTATAAGTTGGGGCTGCACAGTTCACTTCAGCAGCTTAATGCAAAAAACACAGCACTGGTATTGCACCTGTGGTCATAACCTCAAGCACTTCCTGAGATAAAAGAAACAGATGTATTTGGTTGAGAGTGACAGATACATTCACCAGGACACCAGCGTCCCAGCACTAAGATCCGTTAAACGAAAACATGGCAGAGAGAAGGCGCAGTGAAAGGGCAAAAGTTTCCTTCTACTGTCTGATGCAGCTCTGGAAGTCTTCCACAGATCCATGGGAATCTAATAGATCTAATGTGGCAGAGAAGAAAAAGCTCCTCAAGGAATGCAGAAGCAGCTCCCAGTAGCACGGTCACCCACTACTACTAAGAAAAAAACAATTTCAAAAGAAGCCTCATAAAGGGGAGACCTTCACTGCTAGTAGCCTCCTCTGAATCAGTCATTACAGATGAATATTCTTTGAATACAAACCTAGACTGCCTTTTTTTTTTCCAGCAAGTCATCAGAAATAGCCTAGTCTGCACAAAATGTAGCTGCTTGCTCTCTGGTAGAGGGGATTTTGATGCTTTTAGATACATGTTAAAATATTCAGTACCCACAAGCATACAGAACTACCACTCAGTTTATGTTAACAGCCATTCAGCGTATGTTAAACAATTGATTGAACTTTAATATGTTCTTCTCTAAAACCACAAAATTAATTCCCTCGGAAAATTTGTAGAAGTTATGTCAACCTGTGCTATTCCAACTTTAGCCAACCGAATTATAAATGCCACAATCAATTCTACCAAAGTTAAACTTGTAAAGGAAAAATAACAATCACCGTTTTTGCAATAGTTGCATGAGGGTACTGGACTGAAGCCATTATCTGAAAAATTACCCAGAAGTAAAATTAAGCCAAAACCAAACACTAAACAACCTACAAAGAATTACGTCCTTTCACTGGAGATGCTTCCGCCTTCAAAGTCTTCAGTGACCGAAAGCAATAGCAAGCGAGGGACTGAAAGACAGAAGACTGTCTCCTGCATTTTCCATCTCCTGTTAGATTTTGAGTTATATGTGAAAAAACAGTTCAAAAAAAAAACCCCAACCCTTACAGTTCTTCCTCTGTCTATCCACCGCAGTAAAAAGCACATGCACAGTTCCCAAAGCTGTGGTGGGGCTTTCTCGTGGAACTGTTGATCTCATTTTTCTACTGAGAAGAAGTTTTGCTTTTTGACAACACCCCATATGGGATTGTAAAGCACTTCAAGGAGAAGTATGACAGCGCAGG